AAATGTGGTTCAGCTCCATGATTTCAACTCCTCCCGTCTAATCGGATGTATATGATTTTTTTATACAAACTGAACATACAAATAGCGCTTATACCTGTTTTTTTTTTTAAGAATAATCGTATAGAGAAGTAATTTAGAAGGCAATCGATAAAAAATTCAAACAAAAGAATGACTGAATACACAAATATTTATTTATTTAGTTGGTTACAAGATTAAAAATAAGAAAGTTTTTTCAAATGTTTTTTGTATTGTGTAGGGGTTAACTTTTTGGGGATATTTTGTTATTAGCTGCACGAGCACATATCATACAGTATTTATTTTTGGTTCCTAAGTATAACAGTTTTCCAGTATAGGCACCAATAATTGCTGCTGCACCAGAAGAAGCAGCATAATTATTGCGAAATGATCTTTTTGACCAGCAGCCATCAGCAATTACCGTTATCATGGGATTTCCATCGCTGTCATCGCTTCCAATTTCTTTTGCGTGTCGTGCTTCCTCTTTTCCTGCCTCCCGTATAACTTGATCGGCTGTTTTATGAAACCAGTCATAAACAACTTGGCTTGTGTTATTGTACAATTGTTTTGACAAAGCGGGTATATCAGTGTTTGCCGCTAGTTCGTTCAAATTTTCGAGACCACAACCAATACTGATCGTGCCCGCGACAATACCATGATTAACATTGTAATTAGCATTGGGATCATCGGTGCTTAAATTAAATTCTGCGTTACATAATTGACTTTTCAAGCACAACGTTGAAATAAAGCCTTTTCTGGTCTCACCGATGCATTTCAAATTTGAAAATCTGCATCCAAATGATTCATGAATGTGATCAGCAACTGCTTGCAGAGAAAGTAAGAAGTATCGTATAGAGACAATTCTACGTCCGTCTAAATCAAAATCCTCTTTTTTACTACACATTTCTTCACGTTCTACATTGAAGTCGAAGCAATCACCCTTTTCACGTGCGGACGGCTGGTGCTAAAATAAAAAAGCAATAGCTTTGTTTTACATTTCTACGAGTCAAATTTTAGGAGCCCTTATTTATCATATTTTAATTACCTTAGTTTTAACTTTTCTAAAAGGCAGTCCACTGGTGACTTTTCGTTTTCGCCTCTTTTTATTAACCTAAAATAAATATTATTATTAGCTTTTTAAAATAGCGAAACTGCAAGTATTTATTTGTGTACATAAATATAAATGAATAACAATTTTAAAACAAATGAGATATTGTAGATATTAAACATGTACAACATGTGTTTTATGCACGATAATTGGCTAATTGCTACTCAAAAATAACTGTTAATATGTACTGAGTTTTCATTTTGGGGTTTATTTGCTACATCTTGTCCTTTTTATTTCCTTAGAACCATTAGTTGTTATTAAAATACTTTTAGAAGAATATTAAGGTTTGTTCTCTTGATCACTAAAATGAAAAGTATTATATGTATTGTATATGTAAGTATTAAAGTTAATATGGCATTAACGTATATATTTTAATCAAAAAAGGTAACAACAGAAAATGTTACCAATATCATTTACTGGAGGGCAAGTGTTGCTAATATTTGACATCGGTTGACGATCGGTAGACGCAGTGGCACTGACATTACTGAAAAGAATAAAGGTCACGTAAATAAATTACTGACAATCCAAACCAAATAAAAATAACATTATTTTAATGAATTCTATTATAATAGAGACGGACCTTGCATTTTCCGGGATAAATTAAACACACACGTACAGACATAAAGACAGATAAGAATATTTCCAAACAATTATTCGTCATCAATATCGATAGTAATGAGCAAATAAAAGCGTCCGTATCGCAAGAAATGTAAACGTACTTACTAGATTAGAAAACAAAGCGTCTTTATCGCAGTACCATAACCCTACTAATCACTATCCTAATTATAATACATAAAACAATAGGTAAGCGTCTTTTTTGCGGAAACGTTCACAAAAATATTAGTGGACGTAATTATGGGAACGTGTTGGGAGGGCACGCGTCGCCTGCGCTACCTGCGCAGCTCGCTCGCCGACAGTTCTCTAAGTAGCTAAGTATAGATTGTATTATTATATAAGTAAGATGCTAGTTTCTAAAATTTAAATAAATCCGTAAATAATAACGTTTAATTGAAATATAATTGCTTCATGAAACGAAAATGTGAAAACATATTTGTGTGTCGCCTTTGTAGCAGCACGTTGTACATATGTATAGATAATGCAATAAATAATATCTCAAATTACACTTGTTAACTATAGTTATATCAATATTATTCACCTATACCTAGGTAGTATTCAACATACCTGCTTAGTCTGTTTCTTTTCATCACTTCAACTCTTGCTTTACATTTCTTTATACTGACACAAGGATATTTCCTCTTTTTTCCATCCATCTTTTTCCGTTTATTGCTTTTGGTTGTAAATTGAAATTCACAAAACACACAGTAAAAATAAACGCGATAAAATCCGTAAAAGTAGTTTTAATCATGTATAATGTTCGCGTAAATATAAGAAATCATTATCAAATAGGAGATATTTCATAGCATAGGAGATGTGCACCTTCTGAGAAGCAACTAGTTATGTTATAAAATAGCCACATTAATAGAGCAACATGGCTTAGGAATAAAGAATAAAATCGCTAACTTTTTTTTCACTTTTTATTTATTTTACCAAAGTAACTCATTCAAATCATATTGAAACTGGACAAATAATTAAGAACGATTTATTAATGATTTCTTAAATTTACGCGAACACTACACATTGCATAAAACTAAATTTACGGAGTTTATCGCGTTTATTTTACTTATTTTTAATTCCCGACGTTTCGGGTGCTTTACAGCAACCATGGTCACGGGGGGGGGGGGGACTGAGATGTTTGACGTCCCAATGTCATAGTTAGTCCGGCTACCTTCAGTTTTTGAATATTAAATTTTGGTCCGATTTACGCAAAACGAGCTTATAGTATCATGAAGTCTTGCAGTGGTATGCTTAGGTTTGGGTTTAATTTTGTTAATTATAGGATCCCAAGCAGGTGGCAGCACCCATCCATCTTCTCTATTGAAATTTGGATGTTTTTTAATTTTAATAGCCTCGCGTATCATCCTTGGTAGGAATCGGTGTTCTTTTGCGAGAATTTGTGGTTTATCAAAACGAATGTAATGGTGGGGACGATCTTGAACATGTTCGCAGACTGCAGACTTCCCGGAGCGTCGGTGCTTCACGTCAGCTATATGTTCTTTCACGCGGGTTTTTATGGATCTTTTTGTTTGACCTATGTAAGAGAGACCACATTCACAATTTAACTTGTACACTCCTGCATCTTGTAGAGGGATATTACACTTGACGGACGGTAAAAATTGACTAATCTTCTTCGGCGGCTTGTAGTATGTTTTAATAGAAGCTCGCTTCAAGATGTAGCCAACCTTGTCTGTGACTCCTCTGACATATGGTAGTACAGCAGGTACACGCTCGACTGTGGCCGGCTTTACCCGGTCACTGTGACGTAGGCGCGGGACCCGAAGCTTGTTGTCTTGCAATACTTGCTTGACATGCTGAAGTTCGGCGGCCAGATGTTTTCTGTCACAGATCCCTCGTGCTCTCTGAAACAAAGATTTACCCACGGTAGCTAACTGTGAAGGATGATGGTGAGATTCACCATTTAAATATCGGTTGGTATGGGTCTTTTTTCTATACACAGTGTGACCAATTGTGTTATTAGGATTTCGAATGACTAAAACATCTAAGAAAGCTAAAGAATTATTTGCCTCTAACTCCATTGTGAATTATATTTTAGAGTTTATAGAGTTAAGGTGGTTTAAAAATGCAGTTACTTTGTCAGATGGTAAAATTGTGAAAGTGTCGTCTACGTACCGCTTGTAAAATATTGGATTTACAGGAGCAGTAACTAACATTTACATTTACAGGAGCAGTAACAGTAACTGCTCCTGTAAATCCAATATTCTAAAAAAAAGCGGAGTTAACGCCTTAAGGCTTCCGTCTAGCTGTGCTGTTTTACATTCCCAGCCATTAGAGGGGGCGCTCTCCCCCGTGCATAAATACGTTCGAGATCGCACGTGAAGTTGCTCTATTTCATTAAATATATAACTTATTAATTTTTGTTTTCCAAAAATATTCCTTTTACTTTTGTTGTGGTAGTACAATTTTTTACCCTTTTATATTTCATAAATGTCGTTTTTAGTCATATTTATACGGGTTGTAGGTTTAAAAGGGGTAAATACAACCGAAGAAAAAAATATACTGCTTCTTTTTTCATTCATACAAATTTCGACTCTACCTTATACATTTTGTATAATGAATCAGTCCATTTGATCAGTCCATTTTGTAGAACTAATATGTACAATAAAATAAAAATAATATATATTTAAGTAGAACAAATTTCACGATATGCTCTAGTCAGTCCATAAGAGCTGCGCGAGTGAAAGAGATCAACCGTGCGAGCGAGAGGTAAAATAACGTTGAACAACACAGCTTACGTCTGAACGCCGAGAAATCCCAGCGGAACTAGTGATGTCAACCGGTTTTAAGAAAACCTGATAAAAACCGGTTTTTGATAAAACCGGTATTTACCGGTTCTAGTTAAATAACCGATTTATTTTGCATGTTGGTAGCCTTATAACTTTACAACGTGTATCAGAATCCTTATGAATAGCAATGGTTGAAGAATCCCGAAAATGTCGCCCGATAGCAATAGGGGATTTACCGATCAGAGACAATTGTACAATATTTTTTGCAAAGCATTAAAGTTTGTGTCGTATTTACCTGCCTCAAATAATTGTTTGTGCCTTGTTTATAACAAGAAAAAGAACTACAAAATGTAATTAGCATTATTATGTTTTGTTTAAATAATAATGCAGTTTCATTTCAATTTTACCTGTGGTCTCTAAAGTAACCTATTAATTTGATCGATTTTTGTTTGTTTGCAAAATTCCAAAAGTAAAAGGATAATCTCTGACAAGAAATCATTTTGAAAAATTGAATAATGATTCGGCTAAATGTCAGTTACTTATATGGAAAAATTATCAGGGTTGGCGGAGGGACATCTAATATGTTGGCTCATCTCAAGAGAAGTCATCCACAGGCAACAGTGCCAGTCAATCCTGAGCAGCATGCCATCAATGACAAGGAGCAATCTATCCCGCTCACGTCAAATAATACTGACCAAGAGCATCCACGGAAAACCTTAATGCAAATCAAGTTGAAAATGAATATGGGGAATATCAAAAAGGAAATAGATGAATATCTTACATTGATGATCGCCACCAATTTCTAGCCATTCTTCGTAGTAGAAGACAAAGGCTTCAAAAGGTTTGTAGAAGCCTTTAATCCTAACTATGTACTGCCTTTAAGAGAAAAAATAAGATATGAATTGATACCCGCTTTATACGCAAAGCTGAGACGCAGCTTGAGAGTTTCTTAAAAAATTCAGAATACGTCGCACTAACCACAGATCTATGGTCAAATGTACCGTGAAGGTACATTTTTCATGAATGTTATCTGAAAAGTTAGTCGTTTTGACAACATCGGAAATTACTAATTCGCATACTTTTGAAAATTTGAACGAAATCATGAAGAACATCGGAATGGAATGGAAACTTCATAACAAAGTTGCTGCTATTGTGACCGATAATATTTACAAAATGAAAAAAAAGTGTGATTTCCTTTAGATACGGCACATGGTATGCACACGTCGAAGAATCGTTACAGCTCGCACAGGCGGAAGAAATTATCAAGAAATGCAAAACAATTGTGAATTTTTTTTAGAAGTCGTCTGTTGGATGGCTTCTTAAAACTTCTGCAGTAAACATACTGCGCATGTATATGGAAACCGAGATTGACCCTGAGCAAGAATAAAAAATAAAAATATAAATTTCTTTGCAACCTTCCGCTAAATAAATACAATGATGTGTATTACCTGGATTGAAGACACATCATTGTATTTATTTACCGGAAGGTTGCGAAGAAATTTATATTTTTATTTTTTATTATAATGGATTTCCGCAAAGTAACCTGATTCTATCAATTGCCTGAGCGAGAAGACAAACATACAGAAGTTGCTGGCACTTACTAAAAACAAATAAACATTTGGCGCCGCTTAATAACATGGCTTTAAAATATCTGTCAGTGCCAGTGACTTCTGTACCTTCGAAACGAACGTTTTCAACTTCCGGCTATTTCTTATCATCGCGAAGGAATAGGTTGCTAGGTGATGCAGTAGATCAACTTTGTTTTATCCACCAAAATTATGATTTAATCATTTAACTAAAATTAAAAATAAGTTTTTTTTAATGAATAAAGTTTAATAAGTATTAAAGAAACTCAATTGTTTCATCGTCATATGGATACTAAAAACCTAAAAAAACCTAAGAAAACTGTTTTTTTTTTAAATTACTAATCGGTTTATACCGGTGCTGAAAATTGTAATCGGTCGACATCGCTAAGCGGAACTGAGAGAACTTTCACGCGTTTCTAGTTTATAAATGGTATATAGGTAAAAGGTACGAATATATAATTTTTTTTTTAATTTTATGTATTTCTAATTTACTTGAAAATAGTTATACTTTATGTGGTTTTAAGTACGACTTTGCCACATTTATACTTCTAATAGAAAAAAATTGATATTTGCAGTAAAAAAATTCATGAAATTACAACTTTTTAAGCCCTCCAAATAAGAAAATTAAAGCATTTATAAAAAAGTGACCAGATTAGGTTATTGTAGACAATATGTGAATAAATGTGATCTGAATACTTTTCTTGATATTGTTATAGTTTGTACATAGCAGAGGCTTTAATTAGACCTTTTACGCATGTAACCTAAACATAGGCATGCTTAACGCCTAATAGAGCTATTAATTTAAACACCAAAATAAAATTAAAAAACAGTTTCCAAAATATCAAATCCTACACTTTTAATAAATGTAAAATATGTTTTACTTTTTCTTTTTTAAATACCATAAAAAATATTTGTTTTGCTGTAAATTTTGCGAGAACACAAACTTATACAAGACCGGGGCCTTAAGGTGCCCCTAGTCGATGACACGAACTAAGTGGTGGGCGGGGTAAAAAGAGAAATCGGGGGCACTCTTCAATAAATGACAGCAAATCAACCGCGATTGCTGCTATCGCCTATCTATGCATTCTTTACGCAATCACACAATATAATATCACGCCTGTACCCACGAAAGGGACATAACTCTCATCTAAAAATGGTAACATTAAAAAACTTTTTTTGAAAAAATATAACCATTTCCAAAACAAATACAAAAAAGTAAACATAATTATGTTTTCTTTATGTTTTTGTATTTTATTGTAGGTTATGCAAATATTACTGTAGGTACTATGTATTCTAAATAGGTATTTACTTACCATAGCTAGTTAGCTATAATAGTCCACAGGCAACTCCCCGAAGTATATGCCAGCCAGTGTCAGGATAACTGCTTTTTCGACAGCGCGATTTCATGTGAGTGGGGCTTTTATATAGGTTAATTAAATAAATAAAAAATGTTAGTTTGTAAATTGTTTATAGATTGCTTGTGTTCAATAGCGGTTTGAAATATTCTCTTAGTATTTAGAAAGTTATCAACAATAAGCATTGTGTCACTGCAGGGACAAGCACAAACGGCTATCAAAATAGTAACGTAAGTATATAAACGGAATACTAACAGCACAGACTTCCTTACAGAAGTCCAAAGAACACGTCTAGACAAGGTAAGTAATTAGAAGAAAACTACAATTTAGAGATCGACTGTAAATCAAATTCACAGTACAGACACAATTAGCGAAATATAAATAAAATTTTGATTTATTTTATGATAGATAACGCTAGTCGAAAACTAAACACTGTATGGGAATGACATCACTGAACGAGTCGGGTGGTCAGTCCAAACAAATAAAAGGCGCGATTGTAGAAAGAGATTCGTTACGAAACGTTTGTAGGCTAGGGGGCTTGGCCTGTTTATGCTATTCATAACGAATGCTATAAAATATGTACAAATTAGAAACTAATTCCTATGTGTACTTATATGTATTCATAACCCAATATCTGAGGTAGGTTGATGCGCTCCTTAGTTTTTATATAGTTCGTATTATTCTGTAATAAATTAAATCTAATCCAAAATATACTACAATACCATAGCAAAGCTACTACTATCTTATTTAGTAGTAGCTTATATAGTAGTATAGTAAATTATATACAAAAAAATATGAGTATGTCTGAGGTAAGGTTAAATATAAACAAATATTTGCCAAGTGCGACTCGGACTCCCGAGCTTCCGTACCATCTTACAAGATTTAAATATACATATTACTGTCGATAAAAAAAAGCCAAAATACACAGTTTCTTTTTCTAATAGAAAATCCTTTAATTTCAAATTTATTTTTACTATTTGTTGTTATAGCGGCAACAGAAATACACGTTCTGTGAAAATTACAACCATCTACCTATTACGGATCATGAGATGCAGCCCGCTGACAGACAGACACACGGACAGCGGAGGCTCCGTAATAGGGCCCTGCTGGTTACCCTTCGGGTACGGAATCCTAAAAAGTACTTAGTTGTCCACTCACATCTGTATGATTCTTTCTTCAAAGGACCATATTAGCCTGGTTCTCGTATGACATGACCAGTTTAAAAAAAAAAACAACTTACAAAACAAATTTTATTTATCATTGACTGCCCTTCTTGATTCCTATGTACTTACATAAATTACATTAGGTATATTAGGATATGAGATTCCTATACGAAAATCTAAAAATTACCTAATCTAATTAATAGACAATTTTAAGATTTTCGATAACCGTGCTTATCTATGAGATGTTTTCGTTATTTAGCAAATTAAAGTAAGTTCATTATTATGTACTTTGTACTTTTTTTACTTTACTGTTTTCAATTTTAACTAAATGTGCTTCAACAAACTTATGGGAACATTTTAGCAGCTATATTCATCCCGGCTTCAGCAATGGACACGAACAAAAGGAAGCAATTTTTCTAAATAAAGATGTAGATATGTAGGTATTACAACCGCATATACCCTATAATAGCAGCGGCTAACCTAGTGAGTATGTGTGAGTGCGCGCTGCGCCCCCCCTCCGTCCGTCCCACTGATGAATGACTGATGAATGAAACAATTTGTAGCGAAAGGCAAGATGTTTTATAACAAAAACGGGCGCGCGAAATTTTATAAACAGACCTTTGGTAGTCTGGATGTCACGAAAAATCTATTGAATTAGTATCTGTTTAAAATAAAATTAGCATTTTTGAACAACTAATCTATCCCTGTATGGTAACTGTTTTGCAATTTTCGTTCTTCTTATGGTATTTATTTTCGCCCAAAGATGTGTTAAAACTAGTGTTGAAATTTTAAATTTTCGACCATAATTCTAAACATACTCTTTTTTTACTTTTTTGTTTCCATACAGGGCTAGATAATGATGAGACAAATGAAATCATTTTTTATTTTGAACGTACACCATCAAATAGTGGAGTAATCGCCAGACTACGTTTGTATGGAAGAATAAGCGACTAGTGTACCCTTAAGGCGTTTTCTACCAGTCCACCTATAAGCATCTATAAGTAAGTAGAGAACACTACTTTGGAAGTGCATCAAGATTTGTTAGGAGTTTCCCTTTAAGTTAAGGCACAGAATAAAAAAAACGAGTGTGCTTATGACCACACGACCGAAGTAAAACTTCTTTAATAACTCCATCTGTGTATATATTATGTTTGTATATGCATTTATGTATAAATATATATATATATTAATTTTCTACAAATATTTAAATTTATTATCGGCTTCCTTCCATATTTTGTTATTATTCACGCGATAACCGATGATCTTTAAACTGAATTTACAATTTTATTCACTTTAAACGTAGAATATTTTTAATGTATTGAACAAAATATTACTTTAAAAAATTGTTCAAAACGAAATAAAATTATGAAAAATAACTGGCTCTATCAGAGAAAGAGAAAAAGGAAAATGTGCGCCACACTGTTCTCTCTTACTTATATCTCCCACCCAACTCCCGTTCGCCTCGCCCGATCACACTTTTCATAATGCTTTCGTCAGGCGTTCGCCAGCTTAGGCTCCCTAAGTCAAGCGTGCGTAAAGAAGTTTTACATCAATAATAATAGTACTACGGTTAAGGATACGTAGTACCATTATTTAATCTTTGGTTAAGGATCAATATGTATTGACATAATATAAAATAAATTAACTGCTTATATAACAGGAAATAGAAATTAATCAGAAATTATTTTAGAGAACTTTTTTG